GGGCAGGGAGCTACAACAATATGATCTTCAAGGTTCCTTCCAACCCAAACCACTCTGTGATTTTTCCACCCCTCGAGGCAGATGTGCAATGCAGCTGTGGCAGAGTTTTGGCCCCTAAACCCCACTGAGATCAGGGCCTGGAGCTACTGAAAGGCACTGGCTGATGTGGCTCTGAGCAACCTGATTTAGTTGGAGATGTTTTTCAAGCACTGGAAGGGGCTGCCCAGGGAGGTGGTGGAGTCACCATCCCTGGATGTGTTCAGAAAACCACTGGATGTGGCACTTAATGCTCTGACCTAGTTCACAAAGTGGTGATCATTCAAAGGTTGGACTTGATGACCTTGGAGGTCAATTCTAGTCTTAATGATTCCGTATTCTTAATGATTCTGTGATTCTATGTCCCACCTCATTGCAGAGGGGTTGGGCTAGATGACCTTTAAAGGTCCCTCCCAACCCAACCCATTCTGTGATTCTGTAATTTTAGTGTAGCTACAACTCTTCTTACCAAACTTGGCACCAGGGACTTGTGCCAGGTCCCTGCCAAGGGGAGGCAGAAAGGCTGTGCTGCCTCTCAGCACCAGGGACACTGTCACAAGAGTGAGCAATATGCATCTAACAACCACAGCTCCTCAAAAATTAATTAATTATGCATGAGTTAAGGCCAAAAGAGTCACAATATTAGCTTTTAATTATTTCTCTTTGCTTTCTCAGAGGCTGAAAAAAAACCCAAACCATCCTTTGGAGAGAGAGACACTGAGGTTTGCAAGGTGCCTTTGGTCAGATGGCACTTCTGAGACAGCCTTTGAGGATAAATTTGTGTTTGTGAATAGAAATTGGGCTTGTCAGGGCTTCTTCTGGGGCAGAGAGGAGAGGCTGAAGGCAGCAGGGGTGGGACTGACTCGCTGTCACTGTGAGGGAGTGTGCTCAAAGCCCATGCTGAGCTCAGCTCCTTCCTGGTGCTGATGTAAAGCCAATAAGTTTTGTGCTGGTCATTTGTGGGGGAGTTATTTTGCTGCAAGAAGGAGTGTTACACACTGAGTAAACAGCTCAGCCTGTCTCTAATAAGGTGGTTGCAGCTGCTCTGTCTTGCACTGGGGTGACTGGACAAGTTGGGCCATCTAAGGGTTTTTCTTGGTGGTTTCTGTGCCTGACAACAACTTCAGAGCCCAAACCTGCTGTAGGGACAGCTGATGGGGAGACCGTGACCAAGCATCCTGCACTCATGGTCTTTCTGGGTGGAAAGCAGGGCAGGAGAAGTTGCCACAGAGAGAAGCAGGAGGTGCCTGGAAATGTGAGTGGATAAAGCAAAACTGTAGAAAAAAACAGATGTAGAACTACCCAGGGGTGAGAGTTTACTAAAACAAGCCACACTGCCTCGATGCAGATGAGGTTCAGAAGAGTTGGCAGTGCTCATGGGGTGCAAAAATCCAAGAGAAACCTTTTTCTCCACTGATTC